TGGATGGGTTTCCCGTTCAGACACAAAACAATACTGTTGTTTTATAACAGCATTACTGTAGGTGATTGTGTTGTAATATTACAGTGGATTTTTAACGGTGAAGCTCGGAGTTTACTTTATATCTGACGTGCTGCAGGGTGCCTAGCCCATATTGTTTAGCAATTCTAATAGACCGGCAAACCCGGTAACTCCATATTTGAAAGGGGGGTCTTGGAAGGCAGAGCCGCTCAGCAACCGTGAAGAAACGGAATGCTGTTTCGACTACCGACCATGTCGATTTGTGGGCCGCTGTCTGGCAAAGCGACGAGCCTGCCGAAGGCATGTTGGCGCCGCAGGCCAAGGTAGGTGGAAACGTCAGGCGTGGGTTGTCGGAACTAGCGCAGCATCGCGAAGTCTGATACCAGCCACCGTCCTGTGTACACCTACCTTGTATCAGCCAGATCGGCCGAACCGTTCAGGAGGAGTGCTATCAAACAGAAAGTTTTTCAACGCCACTGGAGTAAGGGGCTTCGCTGTCGCTCAGCCAATTACCATTATGTAAGATTCAGGTAAACCGTCTTCTAAATTGATCCATAAAGCGGAAGAAGGGGATAACTCAATTTTCATCATTTTTCAGGAGAAACAAACTTTTTGCAGGGAAAACTAAAACTAAACAAATGAAATGTGCAATTAGAAGTTAGTCAAAAAAGCATCAGTAATAATTATGAAAATTTTTAGAAGTGTCTGATCACTCCGTAAGGTAAAAAATCAATTGTGGGTCACATTTTTGAAAATTCCAAATTGAGGCCTTTAATTTTGACCTGGTGACAAAAGTGCATGTGCGGCCTTTCACTATGGTCCTTGGACTAAGTTTTGCAGCATAGTAGCCCCGTCTATCATCCTTATTTACTAAGCTGTGGCTGTTTTAAAAATAGTCTGTTTTGGCCTACAATTGATTTTTGGAACCAGTTGTGGGTCAGCATTGTAGAAAGCTCAAATGTGGATATGATTTGCTTGGATGCGAAAGGAATTCACTTTTGAATTTATTTTTCGGAATCGTGAAAACTGCAGGATCTGTAGCACAATGAATCAATTGTGGGTCATATCAATTGTGGGCCATTTCGTCTTGCTTGTAAATTGGCCACTTTTGCAAGATATTTTCCTATTTTCATCAATAAAAGGTCCCTGGTTCTCAATAAACCAAGCAGAAACGTTTTTTACTCAAAGAGGAAAAATACATAAACAGGCTTATTACACTGTGAGACAGATGTGAGTTAAACGTCCTGGATTAGAGACGAAACTTTTATAGTGCATATTCTAGGGCCGCCGGTGTGGTAGACAATCCAACACCACACCCTGTCATCGTGAAGTATTGCTACAGTTTATAGTCTATTTCAGTCAGAATATTTAGCCTGTAGGGATTGATTTGACTCGGACTGGCCTCGGGTGCCTAGCCTGCAGTTAGAGAGTGGTCCCCTTCCGGGCGCTAGGTAAGCCCCGCAATGCCACCCCCTCCTCAACAAAAAAAAGCCTTATGGCGGACTGGAAGTAAGAGCTAGCGTTGTCATCCGGGGCTGTAGCCTAAGCTTAACAACCTTCGTATCGTAGTACTAAATGTGACAGAGCAGAAAAATGGAATTTACTGTGATACATCAGTCATTCAGAAGCGTAGAAAACCAAAAAATATAAGAAAAACTACCGTAAAATTCGTCTAAAATAATGGGTCGGACATGGTAGCGAACGCTTCTTTGCCATCACCCGCGCACCATGGCATCGAATGATTTCGGCTGTACTATGGTAAATTTATGTTCCCTGACCTATTATGAACCTAAATCAGCAAGGGCGTCCCGTTTTACCTCGTAATAGCTTCACGGTGGCAAATTGAAAAACACACGATTTTTCGCCTCGTTGGATGGGCGCTTTTTTCACGACTTTTTGAAGGGCCTTCCTTTGAAGCCTGATAGGAGCTGTCACAGTCGTCGCTCGGACATACCTTGGAGGAGGGCATTTGTATGGAGTGGTGATTCCCTGGTGCACCTTCCTGTTTGTCAGTCTCTAAAGCCCTTAATATGTTACATAGAAAGCAATGCCGTTGCTTATATTGCTCCATAAGGACCACGGATGAACGATTTGCACCCCTTTCCGACCATTACTTTCATATTTCACCTTTAAATCCCGAATAACTCAGTAGCTCGAGCTGTCTGGAAGATTGTAGAGAGAGACAGACTCTGTTTTGGCGCGGCTCACCACGGCCCGGTCGGCGCGGCGGGGTGTCATGGCGAACGGCGGACAGAGGCGTTGGTGACAGTTATCCACTTTACCTGCTTTTTGTGAGTAAATCAACTCATGATTTGCCAAAGGGCTTGCGAACCGTCATTCGTATGCTTATGCAGCTTTGAAATATGCCCAATATTTTAATCTTACTAATGTCTTTTGCTAGTAGTACCATGACAAAAGTCGTGCGACGGCTATGTTTTTGATCGACCGGCTAGTTTCCTCTAGTTACCAATCAGTTCTCTTCGATTTGTTTATTGATCCTTTCAACTGTCTGTTTTGAACGCATTGCCACGATACTGGCACTTGAATTTAACTGATTCATTGCCCTAGTTCTAATTATTCTTACGTATTCAGCATATCCCACCGGAACCTAACCTATAGCCGTCGCGAACTGTCAGCAGACGACCTGAACTCATACCAACCGAACTGTTATCAGACCACACTCATGTACCAACGCAGAGGCGTAAATCACGAAAGTATTGCCTTCTATTTCGCTAATTATGTAGAAAAGTATTTCGCAATATTTCTAAAAGCATGTGTCATTGATTATTTGGTCTCGTTTGAAACCACTTTCACGGCTCCAAAGTTGGTAGCACAAAGGGAAGAAGAAGGAAGAAGAAGAGGCCGTTTTCGGGCAGTTGTAGAAGCCGTTGAACGAACTTCCAGACAGCTCAAGCCATGTCTGAGGGAATTGCTACTCCATACAAATGCCCTCCTCCAAGGACATACACGCTATTTTGGAAGACAAAGAAAGGTTGGAGGAAGGTCTACCGCGAAATTCAAATCGATTCAATCTCCGTCGGGTCTGCGGTGACCCGTCGAAAAAAAATGACCCACACACTAAATGTTTATGTAGAATTTTGTACGTGCCACTTGCACGATTTTGTGCATGCGGGGAATTTGCATAATATTATGCGTGAAAATGCACAAATTTATGCAAATTCACGCACAATTTTATGCACGACGGCATACAAGTTTAAAATTATGCATCACCACGTACAAAATTGTACATAAACATTTAGTGTGCACAATTGATTCGTGACCCACAATTGATTTTTTACCTTAGAGGGTTTCTGTGATTTGAATCTTTACGTTAGAATAGACTACGGAACCATGTTCACTTAGTTCTCCCAAACGAGGAGGAATTTAGAGACAATTCAAGTGGAGCTGAGGTCTGCGTAGAGTCTACTTTGCTCTGGTTCATTTTTGGAGTTGGCTCTTTTTTCCAACTAGTGTTCTTAAAAAAAGGGGGAGTTAAGTCTACTTGACTCTTTTTTCATTATAGTCATAAAAATACAAGTTGAGTTATCTCCTTTTGCCAATTTTTTTAAGGGGGCAGTAGCGTCATTTGCACGTGTTTTGACGATTTTCGAACCTCCTGTTTAGACGTTAATATAAAGATAAGTATGAATGTCAGGGACAAACGGCAGGCACCATTTGAAAGATAAAAGATTTTATAACATTTTCAAAAAAAAATATTTTGTTTTAGCATTGAATTAGGATGTTTTGTGTTCTATGCAAAAATGGTCTGCAAAATTACATGGTGTCACTGCGCGCACGATTGCAGCCAAAGTTTTTAACTTTTTACCAATCGGTAAAATGCATCTGAAAAAGCATGAAATTGCCCATAAAATGACCCTTGGGTTTCAATATTGGGCAAGAAAAACTATTGAAACGCTCATCTTCAACTTAAGATGGAAACGAACCACATTTTTTCTGGCCCAATATTAAAACCCAAGGGTCATTTTATGGGCAATTTCATGCTTTTTCAGATGCATTTTACCGATTGGTAAAAAGTTAAAAACTTTGGCTGCAATCGTGCGCGCAGTGAAACCATGTAATTTTGCAGACCATTTTAGCATATAACACAAAACATCCTAATTCAATGCTAAAACAAAATATTTTTTTTGAAAATGTTGTAAAAACTTTTATCTTTCAAATGGTGCCTGCCGTTTGCCTCTGGCATTCATACTTATCTTTATATTAACGTCTAAACAGGAGGTTCGAAAATCGTCAAAACACGTGCAAAAGACGCTACTGCCCCCTTAATAGAGCCATGTGGACTTTAGCAGAGTTATCTCCATTTTCCAATGAAATTTGGACCGTAACTGGGGTTAAGTTGAGTTGTTCCCTTTTTCCATGTGGATTTTCTCCTAAACTGCTAGGAATTGAGTCAAATAATTTGGTGTAGTGATGTTAACCGTTCTGAGGCACAATAATACATAAAAAAGTCAATTTGGGGATAAGTCAAGTTATTCCCCTCTTCCGCTTCCTGGATCAATTTTGACTTAATACGTGCATGGACACGTGAATCCATAACTTTGGTCATGTCCAATGAATCCATCTGGTCTAGTAATTTTTAGTGTCTCCACGCAGTATCCTTAGCCTTCTGCTTTTGAGGGTGTGTTAGGAATTATGAGTAAGTGACGGTTGGAAAGGACGACAGTGAGACGAGTTCGGCTTGCTTTATTAGAGAGGATTTTTTTTTCTTTTTCTTTTAGGGAAATCCGATTACGGTACATGTCTAATGGCGATTTCTCCCATTTTTGGCGCACCTCAGCAATGCAATCACCTCATAGCAATGCGCTGCGGCATCCGGGAGACTTTTGAGAAGTCACCCTCTGGAATAAATCCGCCCTGTGTCATATTCCTTTCCGCAGTCCAAATCAACGTCTCATGAAAGAAAACTGATCATTTTTGCCTCGCGTGCCCGTTAGCGCAACTCGAGGGTCTCTCATTTCGTTTCTTCTGCCGAGGCCTCCTGTGCTTCGGGCTACGAGGGCTTCTGTACCATCTCGAAATCGAATGTCAAACAAAAGCGAGTTACGTTGCTGTTTCGGTATCGCGTTTTTATCCGAGCCATGTAACGCCCGTAAGGCATAACTTTGAAGTAGGGAAAGTTCAAATTGACTGGTTCGTTTTTCAGGACGTAGAATCCCTACAACAACAAAGAAGTGCAGCTTTAGAATCATGTTAGGAAGGGCCTAGAACGCAGTCCACACGTGCTCTGCATCATGCTGGCCACACTCTCAGAGTGTTATTGGGGTTGGTTCGTCAAAATGTGGAAATTTTAAAATCAAAGATGTTTAGCTTAATTACCACTTGCACGGACCAACAAAACACCTTCAGAGAAAGGCATGTACATGTTTTCAGTCAAAATTTTTGACTTCTTGTACCACATAAAGCGCCGGAAAGGTACAAAAATGGCCGTTTTGTCGGTGTCCGAATCCCCGATTGAAACACAATGTGAAGTCTAATTCCTTATAACGCCGTTAAAACACCCAAAGTTTTGTGTGTTTTCGAGAGTGGACACTCTAATCTACATTTTAACTTAAGTCCCGAAACCTTGAGTCGATTGGTTCGTTCGTAAAGTGGAAGAAAAGTTTTGTCCGCAAATTGCGTCACTTGCTACCGGCATTTGTATTTCGCGGCTCTAAGCGTGTTTTGTGCCTGAACCGAACCAAGCGCCAACCCTATTCGGCTTCGAAATTGATATTAAACAAAACTGCAACGGTGGAAATACTTCCACAGGAGTATGGTAGGTTCAAAACAAGGATAATAGGTCGCTTTGCCGTAACTCGCTATCATAAACCTGTAATCGCCAACGCGTAATTTCGACCTCCCCCGGATAAACATTTTCAAATACTGGGACAAGGTCATGTTTGCCGCTTCATTTGACCTATTTACACCATACAGCGTCTGTTACGTACAAGCAAATTTGGTATTTCCTTGCGAAATAGATGGTTTTTGGCTGAGCGATAGCGAAGCCCTTGCCGTGTTTGGGCGCACCAAAAACTGACTGGTCGTGCGTCTGTCTGTTTGTACTCACCAACGATTCTCAGCAAGTACATGGTCTTTAGCTCTCATATTTCGCATTTAACATCCCCTTAGTTTCTCCCAACACGAGTTTGTTTCAAATCATTGATTAGTATCGTTTGAAATATTCAAAACATCTTTTTGAATCAGGTCATTAGCATGGTTAGGTTGGCAGCAGTCAGCCAGCAGTTACCAATTTCTCATACCTGCGGCTGCGGCTCTCAAATACGGGACAGAAGCTAAACAGCAAATAAAACAAAATAAAAAGCAGAAGGGTTTGGAAATGAGATCGGCCTTAGTTTTCAAACATTCTAGAATGATTAAAACCCCTTTGGAGTATCAACACAGCGAAATATGGAGAATGGAAGTGAAAATGATTTACGTCTTTTGTTCCCCTCGCCCCCCTCCCCCGTTAGAGGGGAATCTTCTTCAGGTCAGTGCACTTTGACAGATCATTGTAACAAGAATGTTTTTATTTTGACCTTTTGTATTGTGGGCATCTACTTATTTCATTTTCTATAGTGTCATCCTCTTTTTTAAAATTTCATAGTAGAGGAAATCAGGGAAATGCATAAATAACTTGTGTTGAAATTAGCAGCAAATTAGTTTGGACTCGAGAAATACATTCTATTGAAATGCTGCAAGCTGACAAGAGTGCAAAAGTACTATCATGTGTTTATTTATAGAATCAATGTATGGTTGTGTATATTTAATCCTAATAGAGTTTGAATAGATATTGGCTTCAAAGAGATGACTCAGGTTTTGAGCGGTGAGTGAATTAGTGAATGGATTTAATGAGACGATTCCTTTAACTTCACTGAATTTAATATAACTGGTACTACTCAGTATTGTATACCTAAGTAAGATAAATTATGTTGGTTCATTAAGCCTTGGGTAGCCTTGGCATTGGACTCTATGTGACGAATCACTGGATTTGACAATAATTGGTCCCCGTTAACTGGTTCAGATCAGCCTACCCTAAACCGACTCTCTTAATATTAACTGTGATAACGTATTCCAATCAATATTGTTTTATTCACTGGTTCACAATGAAAGAATGACAAAATGTTTCATAGATATTACTTATAAAATTTTGAATTCATCAGTCAAGAAAAAAGAGATTTCGAATAGTGACCCAATCATACGAGTAACCAATTAAGCGATTCAATGCTGGCAATTGAATGTTACTCGACTGAGGGATTCGCATTGGTGTGGCATCAGGGAATTGGTGACGACAGAGGGTGCTTCATGAAGACAAATAGTAACGATATACAGAAATTGAGTCTTAGGTATTGTATGTAGTTTTCAGAGTACTAGTCACAAAAACTACATTTATTTCAATGCCAATCCTACATTTTCATCTTCAGCTACACAATTTGTGGCCAAACTTTCCAAGTTGAGATTTATGTGTTTCCCTGTAGTTTTCAGTGCGCTGTCCTCAATATTGACCTTTAAATTGTCCTCAGATCCAAAATTTATACCGATTTGGGGTTAAATTTTTTTAATTGAATTGTACATTGATTCTTGCAGTTTTTTAATTGCTGATACCGAAAATCACTTCTATTTTAACACCAGACCTATATTTTCATCCCATATTAGGTCATTTTGGACCAAAATTTTCAAGTCGAGTTTTATGCTGTTTCCTGCAGTTTTTGGTGTGCTGAACACAAAAATGACTTCCAAAATTTTCCCAGACTCACACTTAACCGAATTTCGACCAATTTTGGACCAAAATTTTTAAATTGAGTTTGACGTTGATCCCAGCAGTTTTTGGTGTGCTGATAACGAAAATCACTTCCATTTCGACTCCAGACTTATATTTTCACCCCAAATTAGGTCATTTTGGACTAAAATTTTCAAGTCGAGTTTTATATTGCTTCCTGCAGTTTTTGGTGTGCTGAACTCAAAAATGACCTTCAAACTTTTCCCAGACTCACATTTAGCCGAATTTTGACCAATTTTGGACTAAAATTTTTTAATCGAGTTTGACATTGATCCCAGCAGTTTTTGGTGTGCTGATAACGAATATCACTTCCATATGTACCCCTGGTCTAAAGTTCACTCAATAATGAGCCCATAAGATGCACATTTCGCCACTCAAGCAAAGTCCAAGGGGTACAAACTATGTCAATTCGCATCGCTCAGCCACACTACGCGCCCACACTAAACGGCGCGTACCCCTAGTTATAAAGTGTAATGATGTAATCGGATGTAATCAGCCAGGACCCCGGCGTCGACGCCTGTTACTGCACTTTTGAAGCTTAAATACTTGTTTATTTCGCATCCAAGCCTATTACATATGTTAGGATTTTTTGTTTGTCCTGATCAGACGAATCGATTTCTATAAATAGATGTCAGTTTTGTCCACTTTGAAATTCCACCCAAACCACTTGAATGTAACGAACGTCGACGCAAATGTAACAAACGTCGACACGCGTGTAACAAACATCGACCCAAAGTACGCTTTCAACATTTAACACTAGAAGCGCCGAACGGGCCCATTTGACCCATTTTGAGTTTTGAACTGTAATTTCGACTTTTGAAAATGAAAGTGGCAGACCCCTAATTTCTGACTTTTCCTAGAATGATGAAATGCGTCTAAATTCGAAATCTGGACGTTCTCGGACCATATTTGACCGAGATAAATTGACTTTTACCGTAAAGCGCCAAGCGGGCCAAATTGACCCACACGTCATTTCGACCACATTTCGCGTTTCTTCACAACGTAACGAGCTATAAACTGATTCTTCACCACTAAAAATGACTTATGTCACATGAGGAATGCGTTAGGTCCGCGTTTATAACGAAATAGGCAACCCGCAATACATTTTCTGGCTAGAGACACCGTGCAGCTTCCTTTGTCGTATACTGCCAATGTCTTAGGCATTTTGGGTAACCCGATTGACTTCTCAACGCCCTAGGGTGTCTCTCGGACACTGAGGCGCTAGTCTACCTTCAGTGGCACTCATAGCACGCTCAACCCGAATCCTTGAGACAAATAATTCCATCACTTACTCATGCGTAAAGATAAAAATAAAATGCCGATGTCCACTTTGTTGCTCTCGTGTCTAGTGTCTCAAGGTATTTCACTTGCCTCCATAACTATTAACTAGTACGGCAACTATTCATTCCCTAGATGTCTGAACAAGCCGGTCAGGACGATGGACGACACGGAAACCCATCTCAGGGATATAGCAGGAATAAACCTGGTTGTGAGAGATCACTGAATGCTAGTTGACGAACGGACGCAAATTAGGACCCACTACGCGCCTTGCTGGTTATGCCGAGTTTATTGAGTACCCGAGAGTGTTTACACGTGTCTCTTACATTCCAGCCTTTTTAGCACACACTCAATCGAGCACTCAATCCTCCTTACTATGAGCTTCTCCACTCTACAAAAAATGTCCTGTCAACGCCGTTAATTTATTACCAATGTTTGCTGTTATGCAATTCACGGCGTTTGCTGTGAACTAGTTCACGGCGTTCACTGTGATCTCGGTTACAGTGTTCACTGTGATCTGGCCACAGTAAACGCCGTGAATTGGAGCCTGATTTGCAGTCCTTCGGTGCTCAGCGGCGTCAAACTCACAGTGTTTACTGGGTACCAGATCACAGTGAACACCGCGAACAAGATCACAGTGAATCCCGTGAGCAGTTCTCAGTAAACGCTGTGAATTGACCTACAGTGAAAACTGGTAATAAATTAACGGCATTTACAGGACATTTTTGGTAGAGTGTCCGTTGCTCTGAATCCTGGTTTCCGGGCATGCCTTGCAGCAATGCTTTGAAGGTTTGGCCAGGTCTTAATGGTCTACGGTTCAGTAATTTGATTAAAACTCACTGTCTCGATCACAAGGCGGTTACAATTATGCCATCTATTATCATCAAAAACGTTTCGGCAACGAGGCACTGTAGAAAACACTAGGAACAGCAAATCATGGTTTGCGGGTTGCCTACCTCGCCCCCCTGTGACCCCTGTGCACCAAATTTTATCCTTTGACTTGCTAAGGGTCTGCAAATCCGTTATAGGTCCCCTTTGAGTCGAAATGACGGTTCAAGAGTTGACATGTACGACGGAAATGCCCTTGGGTCAAATTGGCCCGCTCGGCGCTTTACGGTAATCCGAAAACCCGGCGCTTCTAGTGTTAAGCCATTTGAAACAAAACTGGAACGAATTAAGCTTTGATATTTCTTGGGGACCATTCTAGAGCCATCTTGAATGAGCCTGCAAAATTTCATCCGAAAAGCCGCACATTAAAATCTTGGAAATCCCGCGCCTCAAATTCCCACATCTCAGCGAACCAACCCATATTGTGAATAGAAGGGCGGGCCTAAGTCACGATGGTACATCGATAACTTTGCTTTACCCGCTCACGGGGTGTGTGATGCGAGCGGGCCGAAGGCCCGGGCCTTCGACTGGCCAAGTTGGGTCTGATGCGAGGGCCGAAGGCCCGAGGAAAGGCCGCCGGCAGGCCAAGCTGGGCCGGCCCCCTGTCGAACCGAGTTGCCGGCGCAGCGAAGCGGAGCTGGCAACTCGGTTCGACGGAAGGGCGAGCTCTAGCTTGTTCTTTCGGAAAAGGTACTTTGGTAGATTTTTTGGCCGGCAGGGTCCGGGATCCCAAAAAGCCCCAAACCCTCAAAAACAGCAATTTTTAGGGGATTGTGACCTCTACCAAGAAGCCAATCGGTGTCGGATCCGGCCTAATTTGTGTTTCGGCAATTCGTATTCACTAGAGGAACCAAAAAAAAAACGGGAGGGAGCCAGATCTGAGGGGGTCCCCGGCCAAGTGTTTTTTTTGTCTGGAGCTGCTCTTTTTTAAAAAAATAAATTCCTGACAGTCTATGTAGAATTTTTGCCGCCTCCACCGGTCTTCTGGCCCACTGTGCGTCCAATCGACAAGTACCGGCGGTATGCGGCAGGGCTTCTTCTTGTCCATCTCCGCCCCGCTGTGGTCCGCGATGATGCGGAACACGTCGGGTGCCTGCTCGCGCGCCGCGGTGCAGCCGCACTGAGGAAAGGTCATGATGAAGAAATTTTCCTTCCACTGGTTGTTGGCCCACACGGCCACGTTGATGTTTGCCTGTTGGACAAATGACAAGTTTCCGTTTCTTTAAGAGGGCATAGGGGAAGTTGTCACAATTTTGGCGCATCTCGTGTCCGAGCCAGGGTCAGTGGAGCGCAAAGTGACATCATTCCAAGTACGTAGAATCGAATTATTGTTATATTTTCCCCCGACTTGAATCTTGGCCAGAACAGACGCAAATCGAATGTCCCTTTTTCCGATCCGATTGGAATCGAAGTAAGAAAATATACTTCAATGAACGCGATCTTGGACAAATGTGCAAGTGAGGTCAGGAAAATCTTCTAACAATCGCGAGATGGCGATGGCATCACTGAAAACGTAATGGTCGGCGCACACATGGCCAAATTATGGTTTGACAAAAAGTCACGTCAAAAATTGGCGTGACACGAAATTCACGCCGACAGACGGCGTGACATGTGAGTCACGCCTTCATTTGGGATGAATGACAACGCGTTTCATGAGAAAAGTCACGCCAAACAGCGGCATGACAAGACGCCAAAAGTTGGCCTGAAACTTTGAGTCACGCCGATTTTTGGCGTGACTTTTCTGTCATGCCGTTTACTGGCGTGACACTTAATTCGCGCTCCTGCAGCGGCACGAAGTCATGCCGATAGTTTTTCAGTGATGATAACTCACTTGATTGCAACAACCTATGCATGCGATTCAGAAAGCATGGACTTGTGCACAACAGCGCACGAAAATGAGCGTTGTATTCCGGAAGCCGAATCAAAATGCTTTATTCCTGGTTCGTTTTTTTGTTTGCTTTTTTCCGCTTTTTGACTCGAATTCTTAGTTCACTCGGGCTAATTTGAGGCAACAAAAGGTTCGGGGAGAATGACAGGCCAAGTTCCCCTCCTTTAAGACGACAGCGCATTCTTCGGCTCCTCATGCCCGCGTCTGCGGGCACTCTACAAAAAATGTCCTGCCAACGCCGTTAATTTATTACCAATACTTGCTGTTATGAGCAGTTGCCAAAATAAGGGTATCTTTCGTGTCTTTTGGCTCTATAATCGTTATTTTTCAACGTATTGAGATGCGGTTTGGTGCGTTGTGTTGGGCTCGACGTCGCCCACTCTCATCCATCTTAAGTCAACACTTTTTCAATTCAGAAGATGTCGATAAAGTGCTCCAAAGGGTCATTTTGTAACGTTCCGGCATGTCCCCCGTCCACAAATTCAAAGTTTCGATGCTTATATTTCAGCTAATATTGAACGTAGAACCATTCTGAGAAGATATTCGGAAACTTTATTATTTTATCTATCAGACACATGTTACTGAACTCGTTTTTACGAGCTCGATTTGGGTGCAATCTGTAAACGCAAAATGTCCTCCGTGGTTGACTTTCCGGAACGTTACATGTGAATTATCACGGTTTCTCGCGTTGCACTCCACTGATAGTTCTCGGCCTTGTCGTCAGATTAATCTGTAGCATTTTTGCCGTCGAATGGTGCAAACGGGAACTCTGAGAAGTTAATAGAAAGCTCAGAATCTTGTTTTATAGGTTATGTTTCGGTAGTGTCCGACCATGATTTTAAAATGCTTTTGTGTTCCCCGGGCAAGTTCTAGACCAAACAGAGATATGATTCTTTCGGGACGTGTTGAGGAATCTTAAAACAGGTGCTCACACCAAATGGCGTGTTTTAATTCACAGCAAGAGAGTTACTAGGCCTGTTTGAATGAAAATGTAACGTTCCGTATCCCGCTTTTTTCTGTAACGTTCCGTGTCTTTCCCCTATACTTTTGATAGGGGCTTTTTGGTCTTTCTGCAATATTGCACCGGGAGCTCGACTGCGTTCAGATATAAGTCGTGGGACATCACTGAATAAATTGGCCGAGAAAAAAGCCGACTTTTCCACATTTTTTTCTTGCGGTTCTATGGCCTTCAAACGTGCCCCGAATTTTGGCAACTGCTCTTATGCAATTCACGGCGAATGGTGTGAACTAGTTCACGGCGTTCACTGTGATCTTAGTTACAGTGTTCACTGTGATCTGGCCACAGTAAACGCCGTGAATTGGAGCCTGATTTGCAGCACTTCGGTGCTCAGCAGTGTTTACAGTGTTTACTGTGAACCAGATCACAGTGAACACCGTGAACAAGATCACAGTGAATCGCGTGAGTAGATCACAGTAAAGGCTGTGAATTAACCTATAGTGAAAACTGGTAATAAATTAACGGCGTTGACAGGACATTTTTGGTGGAGTGGGGCCACTCTCTTCAAGGTTAGGAAAACTAGACCGCTGTCGTCAAAACCCTTTGCACAGTTGGACAGGGCTTGAAATGTAGAGTGCATTGGGCTAAATGCCCTTCTCCGTGCTTACCTTTCACCACCCAAATTAAATCGAATGCTTTGCACAAAAAAAAAACACCAAAGATCAAAATTCAAGGAAAAGGCCCGGCCGCGCCGCACTTCCTTGACTTTAAGGATGCCTCCCTTACGTGGAGTGAAATTGGTGAGACGCGCGGGCAGGCCACTCGCCTTATGCACTTTTGAATTCACGCTCTACACTGTCATCCTTCAATCGCCTTCAATCGACATTTTATCAGTATTCATTGACGTTTGTGCGCATTAATTGAGTTTTGTTTAGTATATGTAAAGACGAAATTGATGATATTGATTGTAGAACAAACAAAAACGTTAATGCACATATAATGCGCACAAATCTTTATACTTTATCAAACAAAAACTTAGTACGAATCTGAGAGTGTATTCATCTGTACAAAGCGTTTTGCGAACACAGGCCAAGTTTTCAAATTCTCGAAATGCGCGGACGCCAATTTGCTGGCTCGCGCATGGCTTCGCGCGCTGCTTTAGCCGTCACACGCTAAATGTTTTTGTACAAATTTTGTACGAGATATCACAGTTTTTGGTCCACACGAACTTCTCGTACAAATTTTTACAAAAGTTTGTACAACTTTCTACAAAAATGGCGAAAAATGTGCAGTTTTTCGTTCGAATATTTCGTGTGCACAAAAAACTATGATGTCTTGTACAAAATCGTACATAACATTTAGTGTGTGCCTGCACCACCCCTGGCCTGCCTGGCGTGCCTTACGTAGAAACGGTCTTCTATGTCTTCCTTCACGGATACATTTCCCGTCAACAGCTGCAGGTCGAAAGGTCTGCTGGGGTTAAAGTGGGTTGGTCGAACATTTATTTCGAGGGTTCCATCAGATGGGCATGCCTCCAGCATACGGAGGTTCACGATGTACGGACCCTGAGGAACAGAACATACCACTCGTCCTACACTGAAAATCTACCGGCGTGACTTCGTGCCGCTGCAGGGGCGTGAATAAAGTGCCACGTCATTAAACGGCATGATAGAAAAGTCACGCCATAGCTCGGCGTGACTCAAAAATTCACGCCGATTTTTGGCGTGAATTACTTGTCATGCCGCTTTTTGGAGTGACTTGTCTCAGAAAACGCGTTTGTCATTCAACGCCAAATGAGGGCGTGACTCACATGTCACGCCGGTTTTCGGCGTGAATTTCGTGTCACGCCAATTTTTGGCGTGACTTTTTGTCACACCATAATTTGGCCATGTGTCCGACCATTACGTTTTCAGTGATAACCATCAACTTCTGCATCTTAAAATTCAAGAGCATTTTTTTTTTAAAGCGGCATATTTTTTTTTTTTAAGTAAGAATCAAATTTAAAAAGGAAAAGTTTTTTTTTTAAATGTTGATGTTACATGTAAGAAAAAATAAAGGTTATGGAACCAACTTTACTCTACAAATCAAAGAGTGTACATAGTATGCTCTAACTGGAGCATGCCTGCAAGCACGCTCTAGCTAGCGCATGCCTGCCAAGCATGCACTAACTAGAGCATACATGCCATGTACACGCTTCCTGATGCAGAAAACTCCCTATCCCTTATGCAGTAAATGTATGCTTCAGTTAGCGTGTACATGGCATGTATGCACTGGTTAGTGCATGCCTGGCAGGCATGCGCTAGTTAGAGCGTGCTTGCAGGCATGCTCCAGTTAGAGCGTACCATGTACACTCTTTGATTTGTAGAGTATAGCTGACTTTGCAGTATGAGGTTATTCATTTCCTAACGATCGCAAAGGCAAGTCTGTTACTTGGGTGCGGTAAGAAAGTTTCACTATTAAAGTATAAATAATTTAATTCCATAACATTGTAGTGAAGCTTAAGTTCTCACTTCTTATATGTTGTTGAAACTTTCATTACAGAGTTATAAACGAATACAGGGTGAGTTTTCTCAATGTGTCAATAATTTGTGGGGAGCTAGGGCACCCCGATGGGATCATTTTTCGCCAATGAACTAGTGGGCGCAAACGTCTCGGTACGGAGATAATTGGTGTTTTGTAATTGGCTTTCCCGCCGCCGAGCTAGGCAGACCATAGCGCCTGCCCGCGTCGCGGGCTGCCTACCTTACCGGCGCGCCGCAGCCAGAGCGCACCGAAGCCGAAGCGCTCGGCCGAGCGCCGCCGCGCCGGGAGAGCGCGCTGGTGTCAGGGCGCGCATCCGCGCCAGCTCCTCGTTCGCAAACCCATCCATGTTGTCATTACGTTTTGTGCTGAACCAACTCGTGCTGCACTGCCTGGTTCGGTCAGCGCCTCAGGGGTGTTTTCTGCTGTCAGCGAAGACAGCGTCAGCATCAGTCAACACGGCGCGCTCTAGCGGCGAGGCGTGGAAGCGCGCCTGGCACCAGCCAGCGCGCTCTCCCGGCACGGCGGCGCTCGGCCGAGCGCTTCGGCTTCGGTGCGCTCTGGCTGCGGCGCGCCGGTAAGGTAGGCAGCCCGCGACGCGGGCAGGCGCTATGGTCTGCCTAGCTCGGCGGCGGGAAAGCCAATTACAAAACGCCAATTATCTCTGTACCGAGACGTTTGCGCCCACTAGTTCATTGGCGAAAAATGATCCCATCGGGGTGCCCTAGCTCCCCACAAATTATTGACACATTGAGAAAACTCACCCTGTATGTAATGAAATGCAAAGAAAAATTAGATCATAAAAAAGTTGCCACAGTTCTTGAGTTTCAGTCATAAGTGCAAACTGCTGTCGTAACGGCCCCGGTATCGTTTAGCGTTGGGTATCATCCCTGTTTGAGAGTGAATTGCCGAGGACGCTAGCAGTAGAGACCAGGCAAATAATAAGCGACCCAGGATGTCTGCTGAGTTCAGAAGCAGATGGGCTGCTGCCTGAAGAGAGATCTGGTGTTGACCCTACTCTGGCAAAACTAAAGCGTAGTATTACCCTCTGTTATCAAGCGTAATCAGTTTGCGCTTGAAACCAAGCGTAACCGGCTCATCCACCAAGATTCCTCCTATCTAAATGCATGGGGGAATTTCAAGACAACGCTTCGTTTCAAGCGTAACGTCTTCAAGCGTAACTTTGTGCTTGAGTGAAGCTTAGAGTTACGCCCCAGTTTTACCAGTGTACCAGAGGGCAGCCTGTAGACTCCCATCAAGCAAAATCAGAGAATTAAGTTTTGTCAATTTCAAAATCGCTCTTTTCTTCAACTATTTGCTATTATTTTCACGATCCAGCACTTCGCATAAAACGCGCAGACTATCTCCTCACGTTTCAAGATATAATTACATGTTACGGAATTGAGAGCGATCCCCGTGTACCATGCGACACCTAGTGGCAGACTTGCGAAGCATATGGCGAAGATTGACGATTCAACGGAAGGAATTGATGTTGGTGTTAACTCTAAAGTGGATGCGAAGGTGCACTTACAGCGAAGGTATTAATGTTCTTGCAGCAAACACGACCAATCAACAACAGCGCTGGAAGAGTTCCCATGACCACGAAATGGAGCTTGGACCGCATGGTGCTTCCAGAGGGAATCGGAAAAGAGAACTGAGTAAGCACTTCACTGGTCTGCCCGGAACATCACGCCCACAGGCCGTTGGCACTTGTGTAGAACTGATGAACCAAACAGACGGCAACCTGAGGGATAATGCATGGGAATTAAGGGTTAGTTGGGGTAATAACAGGACAATTTTATTAATAAGATCTCCACAAGTCTGCAATGGCGAGCTGGAGTGTTTGTAATGCATTCAAATAATAGGGTACCCTGTTTAATACCATGGGCACTCAAATAATTTTGGAGTTGCGTTATATGTACTATGAAAATTCGGACTAGCAAGATAGGGGTACGAATGGGACACGCTGCAGCGTAAATGGTTGAATAGTTGCTTGCTTTTTACTGATGTAATGGCGATGCGCACTCTCTTGAATTACTGAAGTATAATTCTCCGCAAAACCACCATTAATCATAACTTCTCCTTCCTCCAGATTATTTATGTTGGTTTAATAAAATGAAGACTGCTGGTGTGCAATGAGATCATGAGTTACCAGCAGTTGCAGCTCCCTGAAGAAAACATCCCAAAAGTCTTGTCTTAAGAAACAAGTCGACGCCATCTAACTGCAGTCTGTCGATTTCCACTGATCATAATATTTAACTTCTTCAATCATTTCCTCTCCAAAATATATTTCGATCATCTCTTAAAGTTGAAGGTCATCAGGGCAATTCTCACAGCTTCCTAGATGACACGATTCAGTGGGATTGTCACTAGAAAATACTTTGGGCCGTCAACTTCTGATGAGAGACGTTTAATTTTATGCGATCCTGCAGTTCTAAACATGAATTTAGGATTCTGAAGGTAGGTGCTCTGATGGTAGGTGCACACACATACCATAAGTGTGCCTGGGTGTCCAGCTGGGACACATTCTTGAGGCATTTATGATGCAAATTTTGAAGCAGAAATGTTTATATTATATCCACGTATCCTTGTGCCCCTTTAAATGGGTTCAGCGAATGGGTTTTGTCTGCTGTGGGTTGTATGATGTAGAGAACGCGAGAAGATGGCAATTTCTTCCCGGAAGAAGTTTTGGTTTGCGGCTCACTTTTTCCTTGGAAATCCCCGAGGACCAGGTTTAACGGCAATTAAGGTGAGCTCCGCAACGCTGGCGTGTGGTGACTCTGTTTTCACCCGCTTACTAGACAAAGGCTGCGATGCGCCGGATGGCATGGCTGGCAGCATGTCCGGCCCAGTCGAACGATCGAACCGAACGATAGCCATTGGAAGGCACGAGCACTGCGCGGTTAGGCCCGAACGACGTCCGAAGTGGCACTTTTCAACTGAATTATGTCGGTTGCCCGTACAGGGTTTGTTAGCGTTCTTTTTTGAATGAAATTGTGCACATATGTATTCTAGAAACTTTCCCAAAAATATTTTGGTGGCATTATTTTTATGTCTACCGAAAAAGACTCAGGGTTCGAAAATTTTCGGTTCGATGACATTGGTAACAGGAGGCCGAGAAGACAAAAGTAACGAGTAACACGTTACTTTCTTTCTCGTTCCTGTGAAAGCGCTGCACGCCCGTTCCGGCCCCCACCCCTGCCCGGCTATATTTGATCTCGTGCTAGACCTGTGGCCGACGGGGTGATATGGCCCCCGTGGCGAGGCTAGCACCCTCCGAGATGGCTAATTTGCCCCCCCCCCCCCCCCACCACACACACACACACAGGGCGCGACCCGTCCCTCAGTCCTTACGCCCTCCGTCTCAGACCTGGTTCACGGTACCGTCCTTCCGTCCCCTTCCCTCTGTCACCTTCCGTTCCCTTCCGGGCCCTTCCGTCCCCTCCGTCGCCACAAAGAATCGCACAAAAAAATTTTTGTGACCGTTTTTCCTTACCTTTACTCTCCGTCCCTCTGTCAAATAATCCTTCCGCCCCAACATAGCGGGACGCATGAACGGACGGAAAGACTGGTGACTGTCAGAGATAGAAAAGGGCGTTATTTCTATGGCGTGTCATACATTTGGATTCATCTTTCAGAATCAAGCATTAAACCTTCTGCCCTCTTTGCAGCATAAAAAGGATGAAGCTGTCAACGGGCGCAGAGGGTCAGGATGGGATGAGCAGCGGTGGTCCCACGGTCCAGAAAAATTCAAATGAACCAGCTAGGTATAACTTTGGCTTGACATTAGTTTCGATCACTTCATCAGATTCTTGTTTTAACATCTCCTCCTCTTTTACTTTTGGCAGGCAGAAGATGTGGTCAGAGGGCACAAATGCTGGGCCGAGCACCTGCCATAGAAATTCCAGCTCGGTTTTGTTTCCCTTCTTTAGACCACTAGATCATTTCACGCTTCGCATTCCAAAGATGCCACTTTCTGAAAACAAACAAACTAATTCAAAGACAAAGAATCATGATGTTGAAACAACATGTGCAAACCCATCAAGTCTTAATTTACTTCAAGTTCAGCTCATAGGCTATCAGAGACTCGCCGGGATTATTTACAACCAAGGGAAAAGCCTCTAAATTCTAACAAGTTTTATAAAGTTAGTAAAAACCTTCCCAGAAACCTCGGTTAGAACTCGGGTTCTCGTTCGAACGAAGTTTTTATCTGTAGGCAATTATGTCAACATAGTCAGGACAAAATTTGGTTGCACGCCGAAGGGCACTGAGTACTGTTCTGATGGTGCCCGAACCGGCCATCTCCAGCAGCCTCAGCAGCGGGGTGGTGGAAGGGGTGATGGTGCCAAGGGAGCGCACCAGTTCGGGCCAGCCGGGGTCACGCACCGGATGCCGCCCATGCAGTGCCAACTGTGGAGCCCGTCCAAAGTATGGATGTTGAAGTCGAAGTTGTCGAAGCTGAACTGTACGAAGGAATCAGGATCAATGCGTGGTGGGGAAGAAAAAACCACGGTATCTTCGAACCTCAATGTCTCATTGTACGAAGCACAAAAACCCATTGAGTGGAGTATATTGTGAGGGTTGGCACCACCCCGCGCATGCGCGCTCGAACCCTCCCCCGTTACTAAGGACTCTGCTGCTGTTATTCTTGCCATTCTTGTTGCCCTGTCCTTTCGGAATAGACGTGCTTCTCTGGTTCCCGCCTCTTATTCGGTTCCCTTAACAATATCCACAAGCTCCCTGCTGCCAATGCTTCTATGCACATACACACTGAAACCTAAATGAATGGGAGAGACAAAACTCCTTGGTCTTGCAGCACAAATGATATTGCGAGCAATAGCGAGGCACTTTTTCTCATAGTTCTCTTCTCCACCCCGTTTCCGTGCTAGCACGACTTCTGTCAGAAGCATTTGCAGCAAATTTGGGACCATGGTATTTCCGTCATCTTCTATTTCTTTTACAGACGGGTAGCGATCACAAGAAAAGTCCATTTCTCCCATTTCTTTACTAATAATTGCGGCTGCTTCAATTATTCTGCTTTCATTGTCCTTTGAAGTGTTACTCTCGTACTTTTCAGAGAGAATTTGTTTAGCCATTTCAGCCAAAGTTAGGACCAGTTTTTTCTTGGCTGAGGCCGAAAATAAAACTTCGTCCCCATACCTATCCCGAAGCTTGTCTTTTAAGCTCTGCTCTGAGTATTGAGTCTGGGGGTTGTAAATTCTGAGCATGTCAGTACGCTCTTGCACGTTGAACTGAGTACCTCTGTTTCTATCCAAGTGAGTAACGGAAGGTGGGGTCCTGATACACTTCATTTGGGGCTCAGAGCGAAAATAGACGCCAGTTGCCCCGTACAGGTAGGCACCCAGATTGCAAATTTTGAGTTTTCGAAATTAGACATCACATATTTTTATTAATTTGACCATTTCTGACAACTTTTGTTTCATGGAATATACCCGTAAAATGAATATTAAGGCCTTTTGGCCTTTGCTGCTGGTCTATCAATAAGCAGTGCGCCTAACTTACCCTGCCGTGCGGGACCACTTCCGGTGACCTAAAAAATCCCCAAAAATTCTCGAAGTCTTAGAATCCGAAAAGGAACCGAATTCCGTTTCCGCGCATCGACATTTCGGACCTTCGGGAAATTTGAGCCGGTCTATGGCCATGGTCTAACTGAATCAGGTTTGACCAGAACTCTTTTCTATTGGTTAGTTTGAATTTAGCGCATGCGCGCTGCGAAATTTTTGGATTTTCTCATACTCATTAACAGTTGGCACTGGCACGGTTCAATACAAGGCTATATTAAATTTCCTGTGAATTCTTCTTTTAAATTATCAGTTACCCATTATAAAAATGGAAACACCTTTGCAATGAGATAAGCATTGGATTTTTTTTCATTAAGCGCACGGATAAATGCAATTTAACACAACAATCATTAATCAAATAAGATTAACGTTAGGTCCAACTTTCTAGAGTCCAACGGTGACGCGCGACCGCGCGCGACCCCACACCTCCAAGGGGGTCTGGCGGGCTAGTCCCGCCATATAAAGAACGAATGCTGGCTCCCCTTGCGATCACAGCACTTTGTATGCGACGACGCTTGGCCATGAAGCCTGCCGCAAGGCAGACTATTGGCGGCGGCCAGGGCAGGTGCGAACGCCAGGCGTGGACTGTGGGAACGGGTGCAGCATCGCGAAGCTTCTCTCCCGAAGTGCGATGAGGGTTGAGAGGAGGTGATTCTCTACTCAGAAATCCTGTCATGGGCGGTGACAGGTGAATTTTGAAAGATCACGTGGCGCGTCGCGCGAAGTGGCCTGCTTCAGAGAAAACAAGCGCATTATCTGTCGCGTTCTAGCGAAAGCAGGCTAATTTGCAAAGTCACTTGGCCGATGAAAAACTCGTTTAGGATTGGTTAGCCACTTAAGTCTTAGAACATTTAACAGTCTCTCTTAGGTACAGTGAGAAACCAAACCAATCAAAATCATACCCGCAAATGCGCTCTTCCTAAAAAAAAAGGAGGAGGAGGCTCATTTTTTCAAAGTAAACACCTCCTTATTTACTACCGACGAATATTCATAACCATCTTCTGCAGATTCTAGCTCAGCAGCGAGACCGAAGGCTTTCTCCTGTCCAGAAAAGATGTTACCGCCTTTGCAACGCCATGCGTTGGAGATTGGGAGTGTGTAGACGGTAACGTGGTCAAGCACAAAGCCGAGCTCAGGCACAGCAGACGCCTTCACCCAGACGGCCGGACTATCTTCATTAAAGGCAGCGACGCACAGTGGATCAGAAGACCGGCGGAGGTGGACTAAACTCTAGACGCGTTTTGAGCTCCAGAGTCGCTAATCAGGCCTCGAACCGAACGCGACCGAACGTGGGACCCCACCAATGGATTCCTCGTTCGGAGAGCAATCCCTTGGTGGGGTCACACGTGCGGTTCGAGGACTGCTAAAACTAAAGCGTAACTCTATGCTTGAGTCAAGCATAAAGTTACGCTTGATGCCATTACCCTTGAAATGAAGCATAGACTGTAAATTATCCCATGCATTTAGGTAGGGGGAAACTTGGCGGATGAACCTGTTCCGCTTGATTTCAAGCGTTAACTAATTACGCTTAGTTTAACCACGGTGAAAACGGAACCTGGTTTTCCCAGGAACTCCCTGGAAATCGCCTATGTCTCTACCATAGGCTTCCTGGGAAAACCAGGTACCGTTTTTACCGTGACCAGTCCAGCGGTCTTCTGGCATACTGCGCGACGCCCCTCCCAACGAGCACGCCGAGACCGAGAGGAAGGGGAAGCAGTAAAGTCGTGAGGGACAAAGCGTGCCACTCGAGAACATCCAGGTATGGCACCCGCCATGAGAGAAGGGCGCCCTGGAGTCCCAGCTTTTTCGGGCCGGGACGCCGCCTGGCCGAGGTTTGCACCACTTTGCGGCTAAACGGCTCATCGCACAACATTTCTGACTAGCTCAGAAGATTCAGGAAGGTCTTTTACGTGCCCCGCCGTCGTTACATTTTGATTTGGTCAACCGGGGACCGAACGCGGCGAGCCTGAAGGGCGGCAGTGTGGCGCGGCCGAGGGTCCGCAGCGGCTGGCTGCCTGATGGCTGGCCGCCGGCTTCCCCCACCCTACCGCTTGGTGAATATTTCGTGCCTTTTAGGAAGAAATAACGGTGAAAACGACACGTTGTCTTCGTCTAAGCGTGTAATATCACACCTAACACAAGTTTGAACCAAGAAATCGGTGTCTACTGGCCTGTAGCGGTAGGGTGGGGGAAGCCGGCGGCCAGCCATCAGGCAGCCAGCCGCTGCGGACCCTCGGCCGCGCCACACTGCCGCCCTTCAGGCTCGCCGCGTTCGGTCCCCGGTTGACCAAATCAAAATGTAACGACGGCGGGGCACGTAAAAGACCTTCCTGAATCTTCTGAGCTAGTCAGAAATGTTGTGCGATGAGCCGTTTAGCCGCAAAGTGGTGCAAACCTCGGCCAGGCGGCGTCCCGGCCCGAAAAAGCTGGGACTCCAGGGCGCCCTTCTCTCATGCACCCGCCCAGATACTGAGAGCTGAGCTCAGGTCTTCCGCTCTGTCAACCACTTGCCACTGACACCGGTGAGGACGACGTACACCAGACCGGGAAAATCGTACGGGAATCGGTCTGGTGTACGTCGTCCTCACCGGTGTCAGTGGCAAGTGGTTGACAGAGCGGAAGACCTGAGCTCAGCTCTCAGTATCTGGGCGGGTGCCATACCTGGATGTTCTCGATTCCCGTACGATTTTCCTAATCCAGTTTTCCTAATCCGATTTTCCTAATGTACTCTTTTCCGAATGGATACTTTTCCTAAGTCATTTTTCCTAAATCTCGAATTTCCTACGATTTCCTAAATGTTCCTAATAATGTCAGGCATAAAGTTACGCTTGAAGACGTTACGCTTGAAATAAAGCATACTCTGGAAATTCCTTCATGCAGTTATATTGGCGGAATCCTGGTGGATGAGCCTGTAATACTACGCTTCAGTTTTACCAGTGAACCTTCCAAGAATGCCCTGAATTTTTGTACAAATTCTTACCATCCCTAGAGTGGTTACCCGTGTCAATCAAAACGGCGAAGAGCATCAAATGGCTGTCCCCTTTGCGTTTGCTCTTCTTCCCTCAAAGCGTGAGGTTCACTAAGTAAGAGTTGTGGGGTCCGTTCTAGACTTCGTCCGGGCGTAGAACATTCCTTTCAATGATCCTGAACGTTCAATGTCAGACTTCGAAATGAGAACTCTCAATGCTGCCTGAAAGGCCACGCCTGGGGTTGATGTGCGATGCTGTTTGTTTCAACAGGAACAGAGCACATACCAAAAGGTACGCAAAGAAAACTGATAAACAACCAAAATGTACTCAAAATACTTCAGGTCCAGGAGGTTGGGTTGCAGCAACAATAAAACGACCAGGTAGACACCAAATTAAAGGCGATATTCTGCTGTATTCCATTTTAGGAAAAAAAGCCTTAGGAAAATCGTCCTTAGGAAACACGGATTAGGAAAATTTGCTTTAGGAAGATTGTCTTTAGGAAAAATACACATTAGGAAAAACGGTTTAGGAAAACTGGGCGGGAACGACCAGACCTGTCTGGCATACGATGCCCAGCGCAGCGCGCTCTTCAGTATGCCGTCCTTGACCCAGAACCTGCAGCGTAAAACAGGTGCTTGAGCTCGACGTCCGTAGCCAGCACAATCTTCTCGTTGTCTTCATTGTCGGTCGAAAGATATAGAAGATTCCTCTTACCTGATGATTAGGCAAGAATTGGTCGCACACTGTCCTTCGAAGTGTGGTACAGACTACAGATAATGTGAGGTAGGCGTCAAACTGTGGTTACCCAAATTTACCACGCGTGGAAATGCGGTCAATACCCCTTAAAATGAGTGGTCAGCATAGTACTACGTAAAATCCATGGTGAATACCACAGCCAATATGTAGTAAATCCTCTATACCTCATGACCGCGCAATACATGAGGCAACGGCTAGTTTATAGGCTTGCA